GCGCGTACAGCAGAGAGGGTTTGGAGTCGATAAATACTACGGGAGTGACGAACCGTGGGGTCCTTATCTCTGTTGACACACACACATTCACACACACAAACACACAAAGAGATGTAAATCCGACCGTGCAACCTCCACCTTGGGTAATGCTAATGCCGGCGGTACCGTAACTTTTAATCCTCATAACTCGAAAAGTACTGATTAAAAAAACGTTTCATTATAGCGTTTTGGAAAGCTCTCGAGGTAAGCTACAAGAATATGCATTGAAAAAAGGGGGGTTTCCATTTAAGAAATTAAAGGTGACCTTTACGTGATCTTCAAACGACTATCCAAGGTCAAAGCAATGACACCATCTTATGTGCCCCTCGAAGTCACAAAACTTTTGTCTGAAACATTTTTCTTTAAAATGTCGCGTTTACGAAAAAATCGGGTAAGACGGGTGGTCTGGGACACCCTATATATATATTTACAACGTGAGGTAAAAGTACGGAAACCCCGAAATATTTCATGCACCGCGCATTTTAGCAAAAAATGATGAAGACAATATATTAAGATTTTTAGGGTGAAACTCAATGGTGAGCTTGATTTTGATCTCGAATTAATGGTCATTCGAAAGTCAACTTTTTTTCAAATGGGACCCTCTAGATTTTATTGCATATTACTACAATTTTTCTTGAGACTTTTCTAAAGCACTATAATTGAATATTTTTGCATTACTTTTCGTATTATAAGGCTTAAAAATTGCAATATCGCCGACCGTAGTGCTATTCAAGGTGGGTATAAAGACGCCATAATTCGTCACTCTTGTAGTATTTTCTGATTTCAAATCCTCTTTGTTGTATTTAAATGAATGTGTATGTGCGTATCACACACACACACACACACACACACACACATGTGCGTGCGCGCGCGCACGCACACATATATATACAGGGTGAGGCAAAAGTATGGAAACATGCAAATCGGCCTGATTCAAAATTCAAAATTGAGTATCTTGGCACCTAATACAGCTAATAGAATTTTGAATGGAGCCATTTTAAAGATTTGGGTTTCTAGGTTGCGAAAATTCACATTGCAACAATGGGCAACAGTTTTTTTCCAAAATGGAGGATGATAAAGCGAGAGCATACAAAATTGAAAAATACTCGAATAAAAATAAACGAATTGTAACAACACATAACGTGAGTGAAATGTTGCAAATCAATGGAATAAAAAACATGTGAAAATACAAAGTTTTCTCTTTAAAATGTTTTTTCATTCATCTCGTTATAATGATTTTTCGCCGAAATACCCCCATTTGAAAAAAAAGTAAACAGTTTTCTATTTCAAATGCAAATAATTCCGACAAAAATGGTCGTACCGAGATGCATGAGAAGCATTTTAAACAGGAAATTCTGTACCTTCATATTTCTCTATTCTAATTGAACTGAAAATTTTTCTTTACCCCGTGCACCGTCGTAAACTTGGATTATTTTTCTTCAATTATTCATACTCTTGCTTAGTCATCCAGCATTGTTAGTAAATTTATTTCGCAGAATTGACATGAATCGATTTTTAAAGTATAGATTCCAAACATCATTTTCATTTTTGGAAAACTTTTATATTCATTATTCACAAAGTTTTCGTCGTTTAAAATTTGGAGACTTTTTTCCATATTTTCAGTGTACTGCCTTTTTTAGGAATGAGTGTACTCAATGCAAAAATACTTTATCATAGTGTTTTGTAAAAGTCTCAAAAAAGGCTATAATAATATGCAATAAAATATAGGGGTTTCCAATTGAAAAAAAAGTTGATCTTCAAGTGGTCAAATTCAATTTCAAAGTCAAAGTCAAGATCACCGTTGAGTTTCGCCCTCAAAATCCTAAAACTTTTGTCACCACCATTTTTTGCTAAAGTATGCCGTTCTCTTAATATTTCACGGTTTCTATATTTTTGCCTCACCTTGTATGTATATATATTGCAACCTCGGATACGGCGTACGGGCGTATTCTCCGGTGGACGCTAATTTTTTCCACCCACGGAACGGGACGGCCTCACCGTCGCGTCCGCTTTCACGAGCGCGATTACGTCGGCGAAGGGAGTCTGGACGTTTAAGCGACCCGACAATCTCGAGGGTCGGGCGAACGAAATCGGGCGCCGTCCGGGACAAACAAATGGAGAATTCCTTGTTCAAGGAAATTCGCGTGAGAAATCACTGCAAAACGAGTTCGGTTCCACGCGAGCTACGCGAAAGATGAAAACGACTCGAATAACCGAGAGTTGGACGTCAGACGCGAAAAATACACTATACAAACGCGAAAATGACGCTACAGAGACGCAATAGACGCGAAAAAACGCTAAAGAAACGTGACGGAAACGCAATACAAACGCGAGACAACGCTACACAAACGCGAGAGAAAACGCTATATAACCACGCAAGAAACCGCTACAGGAATGTGAAAGAATGTGCTACATAAACGTGAAGAAAACGCTAATAAGACGCGATATAAACGCTACATAAACGCGGACGAAAACGCTAGAAACGCGAAAATAACCCTAAACTAAGGACTACACAAATGACTAATCCGTCTCGCCGTTCGATCTGTCAAGGGCCGGCCCTTACGCAAGTTTGCAATTTTTCCAGCTTGCGATGTCACAGCCATAAAATCCTGTCGCTCGGCGGATTTGGATCGCTCGACACATCCAACGCAATGGAATTTACCAGACACTGAAGTGCCGAGACGATCGACTTTGCACAACGTGATTCGGCTCTGACACGAGTTCGTGGCTTTTGATTAGAAAAGGTCAACCTCACCAAGCAACTCTGTCTTCTCCTTAAGTTGCCTCTCGCGACGATCTGCTCAGTAGCCTTGGAAGCGGTAGCTCGGTGTACTGTAATCGACAGCCGTGGTGGTCGCGGCGACGGTCGAGACGCAAAAGAGCACCGAAGGATTGTCGATCGATCCTTCGTTAATTGCGATCCCCATTCTTACGCAACACGTATGGGGGCGCGGATCAATTAGCGCGCATTAAAAGTTTGCAAATCGCGGCGCTCACAAAACACAATAGGGCGAGTAGCGTACGCTATCTTACATCACTCATATGTCCTTTTTTCTCCGAGCATCTTTCCTCGACGATCCTTTGCCTCCTGGTTCCTCGGTGATGTCCCTCGGAGTATCTGGTCTTGTCCTTTTCGGCTTCCTTGCCTTTTGGACACCGGCTGACACGCATGTGTTTTTCTGCAGTAGACGATGCGCGCGGCAATGCTCCCGGGTGTCCACTCCGAGTGCTCCTTCGCGCTCGCTAGCGTGCGCCGGATTCGCTATTTCCTCTCAGACGTCGTGGGCTGGTC